TTTTTTTTTTTTTTTTTTTTTTTGGGGGGGGGGGGGGGGGGGGGGGGGGGGGGGACTTTTATTTATTCTTTTGTGTTTGGTGGATATATATGCAAATTATATTTCCTTTTTTTTCTTTTTCGAAAAGCTCTTTTTAGGGTAATTAGTAGGAAAAAGATGCACCTTTTAGTAGGTTGGTTATTTTATAATAGTTTGATTTCAATATAAAAATTACATATTTTTAATAAATCTATAATCTTAAATATATCAGGAGAAAAGATGAAATGCTAGATCCTAAAAAAATAAATATTTAAATTACTAGAATCCGAAATAAATATATTCTTTTTTATTTAAAATATTTTCGTTTTGGCGCAGCATTTTGCACACTGGTGCTACTCAATATCAAGATATTCAACTCTTGGACACAAAGCCCTTTGGAAAGGTAAATAGTATTTGGAAAAATCAGTCCGACATATTTATTTAAGAGTGTATATTCTAGGCTATATTCTATTGTCTTTTTTTTTTTTTACCAAAAAAGATTGCAACAAAATCATCGATAACATAAAATGGTGATTAAAAAAGAAACTATCATATAAATTCTATTTAATTTTTAATTTTTTAATTTGTCATTAAATTTTTGGCTAATGCAACAGGCTTTAGTGATCGACGGAAAGCTTCAAAGTGCAGAGATAGATGAATTCATCTATCATGAATGTCTTGTCCATCCACCTCTCCTTTATCATTCCAAGTAATAACTCTTTGTCCGATCCCCACTAATTATTTCATTTTAATTGTCCAAATAACACGAAGGAAAATTTTGGCTAGTAAAGTTGTAGATCACATATTTGAATTGTGAAAACAATCTCTTGCAGAAATACAGGATAAAACTGTATGCAATAAGCTTTTGTGATCCAACCTTTTTTCTTTTGAAATCCTCATTATGACTATGTATTTTAACATAAAGTTCTTAAGCTTTTGATTGTTTTCAAAATTAATTTATATTTAATATACACTTTAATTATCAGTCCTAGAAACATATTCATTATGGGAGGAGGTGAAGGTTCTACAGCCAGAGAATTATTAAGGCACAAAACAGTCGATAAAGTTGTAATGTGTGACATTGATGAAGTAAGTCTCTTTATTTCCCCCTTTTTTCGATTCTTCGATTGTGTAAATATATTTTACATCGTTAATTAATGAAAAATTTTAATTAATAAAAAATACTCATATCAATTATTATTGTTTTTTTAGGAGGTGGTGGAATTTTGCAAGTCATACTTGGAGGTTAACAAAGAAGCATTTTCTGATCCTAGACTTGACCTTATTATTAATGATGCCAGGTTTAATCCCTTAACTTTATAAACTTGTTAAATTGATCCCTTGAATTTATTTTTTGTGATAATTAATAAATCTTGATTAACAAAAAATGTTGTGATTTTGTAGGGCTGAGCTAGAGAGGAGGGAGGAACATTATGATATAATTGTGGGGGATTTAGCTGACCCTATAGAAGGAGGACCATGTTACCAACTTTATACAAAATCATTTTATGAATTTATTGTTAAACCTAAACTTAATCAAGGTGGCATCTTTGTTACTCAGGTACATTATATTTGTCTCTTAAATTTCATCGAAACGTAAAATTTATTAGTATCGTTTAAATTAAATCAGTATAATATATGTGGGGAAATTAAACATTGGATTAGTAATTTGTAAGTACTAATTAATGTTGAAATATTGTGAATTATAACTTAACAGGCAGGACCAGCAGGAATTTTCAGCCATACAGAAGTCTTTTCCTGCATTTTCAATACTCTGAAACAAGTTTTCAAATGTAAGGGAAAAAAATTATTTTCATGCTAATTAATTACATTATGTTATAATAATTCTTGAAAACTTGATATATCTCAAATGACATTTATTAATTCTTTTTTATTACAGATGTTGTGCCTTATTCAGCTCATATTCCATCTTATGCTGACACTTGGGGATGGGTCATGGTATTATTACTTTACAAAATTAGAAAAAGTTATATATCTGGTTGGTCGGTCAAAATAATTACATTCGCTAACCAAATGTATAAAAAGAATATACACTATTTTGTATAAAACATGTATATTCTATTTATATCATACAATAATATATAAAAAGAATATACACTATTTTTGTATAAAACATGTATATTCTATGTATATTATACAATAATATACAAAAAGAATATACACTATTTTGTATAAAACATGTATATTCTATTTATATCATACAATAATATATAAAAAGAATATACACTATTTTTGTATAAAACATGTATATTCTATGTATATTATACAATAATATACAAAAAGAATATACACTATTTTGTATAAAACATGTATATTCTATTTATATCATACAATAATATATAAAAAGAATATACACTATTTTTGTATAAAACATGTATATTCTATGTATATTATACAATAATATACAAAAAGAATATACACTATTTTGTATAAAACATGTATATTTTATGTATATCATACAATAATATACCAAAAAGAGTATACATTTACTGACTGCTATTTAATTTTGGTGGACGGCTATACAATATAGTTTTTAATTAAATTATCGATGATTTGATATAGGCATCAGATACTCCATTTGTTGTAAGTGTGGATGAATTGGACCAAAGAATCAAGCAGAGGATCAATGGAGAAAATAGATATCTTGATGGCAAAACATTCACTTCAGCCTCTACATTAAGCAAAGCTGTTAGAAATTCGTAAGCAACATTTCAATTTTATTAATTATTGGTTTAGTACTTTAATTGTGTTATACACTCATAATTTAACTTAACTTATGACAACAGTTTAACAGGTAACTCTTCATGTAGGTGTATATAACTTAAATTACGTATTTTATAATTCTTTTTTCGCGACTTTTTTGCTTATATGAATATTTGAACAATGACAGATTGAGCAATGAGACTCATGTTTACTCAGAAGGAAATGCAAGATTCATTTATGGACATGGAAGACACAATCAAGCATGACATAATGGAACAAAAATTTAAAGGGGAGCTACATGATTATTGTAGCACATTAACAAAAAAAGAAAAAAAATTGGAAACTTTTCTAATTTTTTTTCTTTTGTTTTGGTTTTTCCTTATGGTTTTAACTCAAAGTTATCTTAAGAACTTATGTTTCTTATATGTATTTTTTTTTTTTTGTTGGAAGTGGTAGGGGTGCTATGGCCTATGTTACTCTAAAGGAAAGAGGGGTTATGGCTTAATTATGGATCTTTCTTGTTGTTTTTTAATTACTATATGGTTTAATATGGAATACTATCTTTTAATTTTGAGTCTCTACTTACTAATGTTACAATCTTTTGATAATGCTCCCAAGTTTTTGTCACATTATAAAGTTTGTTTATTAACATTTCAAGAGAAAAAATTTCATTTCCTTGAACGCCCATTTTTTTCAAATTAGTTGCAGGACGACAAATAATGTACTTTTCACCATTTCGCCAAATCAGAATGAGAGTCAATCGGGTCAATTAGAATGTCCTTATTTCACATAAAATTAGCATATTGATTTATGCATCTACTTAATTTATGCCTTGTTTTTTTCATTTTCCTATTACTTCTACTTGAATTGTTCTACCAATAAGTGTTAGACCCTGTGCCCTTAATCTTCTTCAAAACCAAATAAGATTGGGCCAGAAAATGTTAAAAGGAAGTCATATTGGACATGCAAATATCCAATAATTTAGTGGTGATTGATAAAGCTTCCAATAATTTGGGTAGCTATGCTTGTGGCCACTCAAAGCAAATATATATACAAAAAATATCTCCAAACAATTTAGTGATGTACTAGAAAGTGATGCAAGTGCGATGCACGGGTCTAAGCCCAACAATTTAATTTGTAATGTGTTCAAATATGTAACATTTATTATTTAAAAAATGGACCAAAAGATATATTTTACCTTTGATTTTTCGTTATTACAGATTGTATTAGCATCAAGTTAATAAGCATTAGTACCATCAAAAAGATATAGTTAGGTTCGTCTGACAACCAAAATAACTATTGATATAACACTTTGATTTCATAAAAAAATCACTACATGGGAAAGAATCATCAACATTAATTGTATTTTGAGAATTAACCTGGAAAAAAAATCTCTGCCATCAGACGAAAATTGTAATTCACACAATTTTTAGTTGAAAATTACACTACTAACAATGCTAAGAATATTAAGGATAGATCCTAAAAAGTTTCTCTTGATCTTGCAACTATGAATAGTAATCTAGCTTTCATTTTTTTTATGCAGGGTTTTTTTTCCACATGGATGTTGGTGCTCAACAGTATATTTGTACCGTTCAGAAAAAGTAAAATAAAATAGGATTCAGGAGTAATTTTTTGTCAAAACCCATAAAAAGGAGGTGACTCTAATGGAACAGTTAAATACCACTCTACCTTTTTCAATTTGCTTTCTCCATTTGTATTTGGTCCTTGACATAAGCATTGTGTGTTATTGTTAGAAAGTCATCCACTTGGAGAGGAAGACATAACAAAGAATCAGGGATCATGACAAATTTCAACCAAACAAATTAACACAGTTTTAAATTACGTCATATAAGTCCATTTGGCCTCAAAAGTGCCATATATATATATGCTTGGCCTATAGCACAATCCATATACTTGGCTTTATAGCACGCATAGATTAGCTGGTTTTGGGAGACTTGGATTGTTAATTTGTTTGCTCTTTTTTTCTTGGCCTAATTTTGAATTGCAATTGTAGTCGATTTCTTTGGAAAATAGCCACTATTGATTATTGTTATAGCCCTCAATTAATTGTCCATTTTCCCACTCTACACAAATTATTATTATAGCCCTCAATTAATTAAACCTAAATCATTGATATCAATATTAGACATGTGATAGTTGACACTCATTCAAGAAATAATTTGGGGAATAAAGATGATAGTAAAATTCATTTTCTATAAATATGGTTCTCCTAACACTATAAGAATTGATTCCTAAATATTGATAAGGTAAAATAAAGGTAAATATGAATAAAATATAAATAGTACAACTCACATAACATATTATACAATTAAGTAGTGGAGTGTTAATCCTTTTTGTTGTTGGCGTATATATAAGGTAATGTGTCATTTCTTGTTACAATAATACATAAGCTCACTAATTAAATTAGGTATAGTGGTATATGTCATCATTCAGTGATATTTGGGGAAGTCCTTCAAAAATTATTATTTTTTGTAAATTTTTAACTACAAATAAACTTTTCACATTGTGTTTAACATCACAAAATTAATAAATATTTTGAAATATTTAACATATATTTAATTTAGGACCATAAAATTCAAAAAAATAAATTACTCTCTTACCTTTCACGTCAAATCAAAATATAATAAACAAATTGAAACAAAGAATCACAGGTACATTGAAAAATATTGCAAAAGGAAACATACTCTTTGAAATCATTTGCTTGTGTTTCATGTGCTGTGCCATACTCAATCATTATGCATGTGGTGGTGGACTCTGCTCCTATCGTCACCTTATATATATAATTTATATTATTTCTATTATATAGAAAGGAGAGTTTTCAAACTTTCAACATGACTGTTTTTTGTCATATTTAGAAAAGCTTAAGGGCAATTTGGTCATTGCCCCTTGCTTTTATCGAAGGGACATAACAAAATTGCAAGATAAACTTGCTTAGAAAATTTGTACTTCTTGCTTTGTTATTTGGACCTCAGCAAAAGCTCTTTAAAAAGTCCATCATTTTCTATTTATTTACAAACCATGCCTGCCATTACAGAATATGATGGGTCCTACTTTTTTGTTTTTTATTAATGTCATAAGAGATGGGTTCCGCTGAATATTAAGTACTTATTACTTTTTTACTGTCATAAATAAATATTCTCCTTATTTAATTTTATTTGTCTGTTATTTAAGAATATTTTTTTATTTTATCTATTCATTTTCATATATTAAAAAATATGCTTTTTTTAATTCATATTTTGCTTTCAGCATTAATTACCTATTATTTCTCAAATTATTTTTTAAGATCTAATACTATTAAAGATCAATCAATAAAAATAGTGTGATAAATAGTTATATCAATTATTATTTTCTAAATTGGTGTGCCAAATTCAAATATGACAAGTAAAAATGAATAAATAAATAAATAAAGTAATACATGTTATTAACTCTTATATTAAAAATATTTTCTTTTATTTCACTTGCTTATTGTGATAAACTAAGAAAATTAATTATTTTCAAGTAATTATTTGAAATACTAATAGTTAATTTATTGTGATAAATTAAGAAAATTAATTATTTTCAAGTAATTATCTGAAATACTAATAGTTAATTCAAAATTTTGCAATATAATTAATAGTTTCAACATGTCAGTTTTTGATCATTAAATGAAAAGATTGTGGGTATTATAGTTTTTAAAATATTTTTTAATATCAGCTTGCTTGAAAAAAATTATTATTTCTATTTTGTCATGTGGACTGTATCAACAATTTATTTATTTAAAAAAAAAACACTCATTTCAATTAAATTATACATTATGCCTTACCCAGTATTGAAATGCATTAAATTTGTAGGGCCATTGAACTTTCTAATTAGACAAATATACAAGATGCTCAACTCTTTGTGTTTTTTTTTCTAATGATAATAGTTATTCTAATGTCTTCCATATAATTTCTCATTTGAATCACATGAAAAGTAAATAATTTCATCATTATACCTTTCATTTGAAAACTCAGATTATTATCACTGTTAAATTTAGTATTCCTTAATTTAATATAATTAGGTCATTTAAAAAAAATGATAATTTATATTAATTAAAATTAAATAAATATTATATATTTTTAATTTTGTTGTTATACCAAAATTTTATTTTTATTTTACCAAAATTAAGAGAAAATTTATTGTTTTTTTCTTAATATTGACTTTATGATTAAGTAACTATATTAAAATACTAATAGTCAAAATTTAACTTTCAATGCATAATTAATAAAATTAATATATGATAAATAAATTTCTAATAAAATTTTCTTATGAGTTATGTCAAGTCTATATGGAGTATGGACCAAGTAAAACGAAATTCAAAGAGATATTTATTAAGTTGGGTTCATAACTATATGTTTCAATGTACAAGATTTTGATAAAATAAAATCTTTAAAGTTAAATGATATTTTTTGAAATTTAAATTTAAATTATTAAAACATATATAATGATTTTATATAAAAAATAATAATATCATATTAAATTAAATGAAAAGGATAATAAAATTTCAAACTTTTACCATGATAAGGTTGAAAAATATCTTACTCTTGCTATATTTCTTAAATAATTAAGAGTTTAGACTTTAGTTAGGATATTAACAGTTCTTCATGTTTATTTGAAAAATAAATAAATATACATATTTATCTTGATATTTATTGTTTTAACAAAGATATATATTAACAATTTCAAAATTTTATAACATTGGGCCCGTGCCACGGGGCCATTTCCTCTAGTTTTTATATAAAAATAAATAAGACGCCAAATCAGTCCTCTCAATAAGTATCAACTAAATAATAATTTATGGTGTTTTCATCCATCAGCATCAATGTATAACTTTATTATATATGCACACCTAAATTCAACCACCTCATTCATGGTGATCATGTCTAATTGATTTGAATTTGGCGTGGAAGATATAGTAGAAATACGTTTAGATATTTACAGATTCTTTCTTGAGGATATATATTTATAGCAATCATGACTTATGTCATCAATCATCGAAAATTCTCACAAAATAGATTAACTTTCTTTGCCCTACAATCTAGTCCCAAGATATTCTTCAAGGGATGGAGAACAATTTTCTCTATTATAAATTCTAACTGTCATCTAATATGGGAATTTTTTTTCCCTGCATCCATAATAGTGTATTTATATATTGAGAATTAAGGTTAAGGAAGAGAACAAATCAATAGATTAACAAGCTATTAGCATCCCCTTATGACTTATGAGTAAATTCGATCTAAGTAATATTTTCAATAGATATATTAAAGCATAATGAAACATTTTTAGATTAGTCATAATAATCATACCATCCCTTGTGGTACGATAGGAAAAATCAGATCATATTTTGTGGTTAGCATTTTATAGAACAAATATGTAGGGGCTGATTTTTTATGGGGAAAGAGACAAGGGAGGGGAATAGTTGGTTATTATTAAAATAATTTAATGCATAATATGATTTTTTTGAGATAATTAATCTTTTTTTTTTTATAGTATGAGATGTTGAAAAGATGGCGACAAAGAAATGGTGTTTGACTTATACAAAGAGAGGGAGGTCATTCAAAACTTACTGGCTCCAAAAATAGGATGAACTAATATAGTTATTTATAAATGCGTACTTATCTTGATGTTTCTTCAATAATTTATTATTTTTCATGGATCTCTCAATAGAATTCTGAAGATAAAACGAAAGAGCTCAATCAGAGCAACAATGAGAGCTCCATGAGCATCTCAAATATTTTGTATTAAGAAGAAGAAGATTACATTGAGTGAGTCACAGTATTTATAACTCTCTTACTGTGACTTGTAACTAATCTTACTAACTAACTCTATGCTAGGTAGTTACAACTAATTATTATAAAATGACTGATCTACCCTTTCACTTTTAACAGCCTAACTAACATTAACTAACTTCTAACTGACAGTAGCTCATCTTCACATCACATTACTCTCCTTCAAGCTTGGAGGGGCAAATATGTTCAACACTCCAAGCTTAGATAGAAGATGATCATGTTGTAATCTGGTCAATCCTTTGGTTAAGATATCAGCAGGCTGCTCCTTAGTTGGAATGTAATCCACATTGATCAATCCCTTTTGTAATTTCTCTCTTATGAAGTGACAGTCAATCTCAATGTGCTTTGTCCTTTCATGATATACAGGATTTGCTGCAATTTATATTTCAGCCTTACTATCACTATATATCTGACTTGGCAGTTGAACCTCAACACCTACTTCTTTAAGCATGCCAAGTAGCCATACCAATTCAGAGACTGTGGAAGCTAAACTTCTATATTCTGCTTCAGCAAAACTTCTTGAAACTGTCGTTTGTTTCTTAGCCTTCCAAGACACTAGTGATTTACCAATCTTGACCATGTATCCTGTAACAGATTTCCTAGTGATTGAGCATGAGGCCCAATCAGCATCATAATATGCAGAGACTAGCTCATCTGAGTCACTTGATAACAATAAGCCTTGCCTTGGTTGTCTCTTTAGATACTTAATCACCCTCAGTGCTGCATCCATGTGAGACTTCTTTGGTTGTTGTAGAAATTGGCTTAGAGTTTGAGTGTTGAATGATATGTCTGGTCTGGTCATATTTAAGTACAAGAGTTTGCCTATGAGCTTTTGATACATAGTCTGATCCACCAGAGGATCCTCCAACTCTTCTGGCTGTTTGCTTAGGTGATCATCATACAGTTTGGAAGTTAGCTTAACATTGATGTCAATAGGGGTTCCTGCAGGTCTGGCTGCTGTCATGCCAACCTCAGAAATAAGCTCAAGAATGTACTTCCTTTGATGCATTAGTATACCCTCAACTGATCTGACAAGCCAACCTCAGAAATAAGCTCAAGAATGTACTTCCTTTGATGCATTAGTATACCCTCAGTTGATCTGACAAGCTCAATGCCTAATAAATATTTTAGCTCCCCTAAATCCTTCATATTGAATGTTAGTTGCAGTGCCTTTTTAGTTTCTTCTATCAACTTCAAACTGCTTCCAGTTACTAACATATCATCCACATAAACCAATACTATAATAATTCCCTCTTTTGACTTGTTAATGAACAAAGAATGATCATATTGACTTTGTTTGAAACTCAATTTAAGAAGAGTCTCAGTCAGTTTATGATTCCACTGCCTTGGAGCCTGTTTGAGTCCATATAAAGACTTTGTCAGTCTACATATTTTCTCCCCTTGACTGACAAAACCTAGAGGTAGCTGCATATAGATTTCATCCTCCAAGTCTCCTTGCAAAAATGCATTAAACACATCCATTTGATGGATAGGCCAGTGTCTAGAAGCAGCCAAAGACACAATGGTCCTCACTGTCACCATTTTAACCATAGGTGAGAAAGTCTCATTATAGTCTATCCCTTCTTGTTAACTGTAACCTTTTGCAACTAGTCTTGCTTTGAACCTCTCAATCTCACCAGTAGATTTATACTTGACTTTGTATATCCACCTACACCCAATAGACTTCTTTCCAGGTGGTAAGTCAATGATCTCCCAAGTATGGTTACTGTCCAATGCCTGAATTTCATCTTTCATAGCAGCAACCTATCTTGGATCCTTGATAGCTTCTGAATAACTAGTAGGTTCCTTGCATGGTGTAGTAGCAGCAATATAGCACTGATAGCTAGGTGACAAATGAGAATAGCTCAAATAATTACACAGAGGATACTTCACTTCTTTGTGACCTAGCAAGGATACAAACTCTTTTAACCACAGTGGAGCTTGTCTGATCCTAGTAGATCTCATGTTGGTTGGTACAACATCAGTCTCAGTAGCACTCGGAACCACCTCAGGTGCACTTGTGTCATTAACAACAACAGGCACACAATCACTACCTGCTGCAGTGTCAACCCCATCAGCTGCAATCATAGGTGGAACCTCAAGTTGTGAATCATCACACTGCTGTAAAACATCATCAAATGATGGACCACAAGGAGGTAGTGAAACAAGATCTAAGTGAGGAAACAAAACACCTGTATCCTGCAAAGGATCTGTAAATACTGGTTGGTGTACCTGTTTTTTACTTTGAGAAAAGGGGAATATTTCTTCTCTAAACAACACATCTCTACTTGTGAAAAAGGAGTTGTTGCTCAAATCTAGCAATATATACCCCTTCTGTACTTCTGAATATCCCATATGCACAGCCATTCTTGATCTTGGCATCAATTTGTCATGAACAGATAGATCTTTGGCAAAACATAAACATCCAAGTGTCCTCAAATGACTTAATACAGGTGGAGTACCATACAATCTCTCATAGGGAGTTTGAAAATTGATAACCCTGCTGGGAAGTCTGTTAATAACATAAGCTGCAGCTAGAACACACTGTCTCCAATATCTTAAAGGTACTTGTGCTTGAAATCTCATAGCCCTAGTAACTTCAAGTATGTGCCTATGTTTCCTCTCAGCTACCCCATTTTGCTGTGGGGTATATGGACAAGTTCTTTGATGTATAATCCCCATATCTTTGAACATTTGATCACAAACAGAATTGACAAACTCTGTGCCATTATCAGTTCTTATTATTTTCACCATTTTACCAAACTGTGTCTTGACAAATTGTAAGAATATTTGCAATGAAACACAAACATCATACTTGAGTTTAAGTAAGAATAGCCAAGTCATTCTGGAGAAGTCATCAACAATAGTAAGAAAGTACTTATTGCCATCATAAGTAGGAGTATTGTAAGGACCCCATAGGTCAATATCTATCAGGTCAAAACAACATTTACTTTTGATACTACTAGTAGGAAAAACTACTTTTATTTGTTTAGCATATGGACACACTAAACACTTAGAAATTCGACACAAACTCTGCTTATTCATATCAAATATTCTAGCAAGAACTGTTGATGAAACATGCCCTAATCTCTTATGCCATAGTTCCATATCTGAATCATGACACTCTGAGCTTGGATTGGTAGCAACAAACGCAACCTTCAATGCAGACTCCTTTTTTTTTTATCAACTAACTGATGCAACAGCAAATACAGACCTCCGGCCTCTCTACCAACCTCCTTCACCTTCCCACTGTAAAGTTCCTGGAATACACAAAAATGAGGGGAAAAGGTGATTGAACAGTCTAATTCCTTTGTGATCTTACTGACAGACATCAAGTTATATTTGAATTATGGAAGATGAAATACATCTGTAAGAACACTTCTAGTAGATAATGCACATGATCCAACATGAGTAACTTGAGTAGCATCACCATTTGGAAGGTATACTGTCTTAGGAACTTCCAGTTTTGATACAGACTCTTTAATCAACATATCCAAATTAGATACCATGTGATTAGTTGCCCCAGTGTCCACAATCCAAACATCACTATTTTCAGAGACAAAAAACACATTACTTGCTGAATGAGTAGCATTGCAGGCTGCTACAACAGATTCTGATCTTTGCTGAAACATGTGGAGTATGTGATCATACTGATCCTTTGTGAAAGTGCAGCCCTGAAGAAGTTGTTGAACATCCTTCTCAGCTTGGCTCACTGTCCTATTGTGGTTATTGCCAGCTAAGTTAGCATTCATGTTAGCTGTGGATGATTCACCCTTTGTACTTCTACTTGGTATATGAACATTAGTGTTTATACCATATGAGAAGTTTGCCTGAGATGTTGATGTATTAGTGTGACTAGCATCAGTTGTTACCTGACCAGAAATAACACCTTGAGTCTTTCTTTTGGATTTGAAGTCAGGAGGATATCCTATCACCTTGTAGCAGAACTCCTTACTATGTCCCTTACATTTACAGAACTCACACACTAGCATAAAATTCCTTTTAAACTTCTGATTTACTCCAGAACTGCTACCAACCTTGGAGTACAGAGCTACTGAATCCTCACTAATGAAACTCATGCCCATACTACTAGTGTTATTAGTGTGAGTAACCATAGCCTTTTGACTCTCATCCCCCACTATCATTCCATACGCCTGATTAATAGTTGGTAATGGATCCATGAGAAGAATCTGACTTCTATCCTGATGATATGAGTAATTTAATCCCATCAAAAACTTATACAACTTCTGCCTGTTAAGATGAATCACAAAGCCTTTGGATCTATCACAATTACAAGAAGGAGAAGGCACTAAAGCCTCAAATTTATCCCATAGATTTTGAAGCCTTGTATAGTATACAGAAACAGACATATTACCTTGCTGCAAGGAAGAAATATCTTTGTGTAAATTGTAAGATCTAGATCCATCCACTCTGTCAAATCTCTCTTTTAAATCAGTCCAAACATCAAAAGCAGTAGTAGCAAATGCTATACCACTCAGTAAACTCTTCGAAACTGAATTCATAAGCCATGATAATACAATGGCATTCACTCTTTCCCATTGTCCCCATAATTCCTCACTATAAAACCTCTTTTTCGAGAAGATCCATCAATTAGCCCTGTTTTTATTCCTCCATAACAGAGCTAGCCTAATAGATCGATTCCACAGAGTATAGTTTTCAACACCTACTAGCTGAAACGAGATGATGCTAATGCCACTAACATCAGTAGGACTGAGAAACAGAGTATGATTATAGTCGATACCTTGTCCTGTTCCAGTGTAGCCATGTAAGGAACTAGTAGCTCCTTGGCCATTGTTGACGATTGGAGACTGATCCACAACTATTTGATCATTCATCATATTAGATCCTTGATAAATTGTTGTCGCGGAAGCAAAACCAGAGAAAAATCAACAATTATTCACCACATAATTCAGCTCCAATCTCAGATCTGTAATGAATTCTGATGATACAGATGAATCGATGAATCAGAAATTGATTCTTTGATCTTTTGCACAACTCGTCTTCAACAGTAAGCACTGTGAAGGTACAACTCTGATACCATGAAGGTAAAACGAAAGAGCTCAATCAGAGCAACAATGAGAGCTTCATGAGCATCTCAGATATTTTGTATTAAGAAGAAGAAGATTACATTGAGTGAGTCACAGTATTTATAACTCTCTTACTGTGACTTGTAACTAA